AGAATCCGCTTATAATAACATCGAAGGGAAATCATAAAAACACGTCGTACTAAGCGGGCGTTATACGAAGTATAGTCTTAGAAAATAAACAACATTCTATTTTAGTTAGTTATTTAGTTTAATAAAGAGAAAAACTACAAATTGTATATATTAATTAACAAAAAAAGAAAAAGAACGATGAATTGTAATATGAATATACATAAGAGGGGTCAGAAAAATGAGCGAAAATGTTATTATTAATCATTTGGGTCACTACAGCCGGATATGATTTCTTGAGAATCAGTCATAATAAACGATATGTCATTTTAAACGGAGTCATTATATCCAAACTTTCCTATAGAGTATTTAATATGAAAACCAAACTTAACACTGCAATTACTTCATATTAAGCGGTTGGTCAATATAGGCGGAGTCATAATAAAAAAATTCCACTGTACTGCCATTTTAATAAATTAGGTCACAAAAACAACTCGTTCTGCTAAGAATCCCTAGCGCCTAGTGGTTGCAGTTCTGAATGTTTTTCTGGAATTCCTAGACGTCTGGCACCATTCATTTGCCCTGGATAAAGAAGAAGCACTCAATCTTTTTCAACAGATTTTAATGCGGTTTTGACGAAAATTGCATACCTAGGAAGGCCTTCAAATTTTGTATGTAGGGGTTAACGATGCATTGAACACCTATAAAAATGCCCGCAAGTGGCCTCAACTAACCCGGAGTACCCCCAAATGAGACATTAAACTTTGTTATCCTAGCAAACAATAAGTAGGTATTTTCTTATGATTTTGTATAATTCTTAGTATGTAAATCCTTTTGCTTTTATTTGATTGCTTAGGATCATATGGTTACGGCAGGAAAGACAACACGAACGAAGTGTCATTTTAATAAATATAAGCAACATTCGTGTGGGTATGGCCCTCAAGAAAAGGAAACGAATGTCACATTTACAAGAAAATGTTTGAAATGGATCTACATCTAATACCGACTATTTATATTATAATACATGTCTCCCTAAAGTATATTTTTACAACATCCTGTGTATTTTTATTTGGAATTCATGCCTTGTGCAGTATGGGTTAGTGACATGGCTATTTTTAGTTAGTTAATTACCTGACGATAAATGCTCACAAAGCGTTTTACTTCAAAGGTTTCCTCAGCTGAACAACTGTTAAGGTTTATGAACTTTAACTTAATTTACACCATCTAAACTCATACTTTCTATGTAAATGTAGTTAATATACGAAAAATTATTAATGGATAATAATCATTCACACTTTAAGGTAGCTCACGCCTGATAGTAGCATACATACATAAATAAATTTTGCCATTACTGTAAGGAAAATTACTTTAAGGTAATTCTGAATAAGTACCTACACAGAATTGAAACTGACTAAACGTATGTCTGTAGTCAATAGCAATCAGGGACAGCCTACTAGGAACAAAAGGTAGATCAGAGGGTGAAAGGTCACCGAGACCGTGCTCAAAAACAAATGTCTGAATTTTCGAAAGGTTAATGTATGAATTGGAACGAAATGAGTAGTCGACAGCGGTGAAGCAGACAAAAATTATCGAGAAATTATTAAGAGTTGCTATTAACTATACGTCCAGTTGGATTGTTAAATATTGCACCGATTTGGGTTAATACCCCCCCCCCTATCACAATGTAAGGGGCCATTCAAGTATTACGTAAGCACTACAGGGGGGGGTTTGGATGATTATTACTTTTATGAATTTTCTACAAAGTTTAGTCGAGTTTTTCTTAGTTGTTGTCCATGCTTGAAAACGAATGGGCTTGTAACTGCTGCTCATCAATCAATAAAGAAACCAGAACACATTGAAAAATACATATACCAATGTTTACGTAAGCATGAGAGGGGTGTAAGAGCTTTGCTTACCTTTACTTCTTAAGGGGAGTTTGTTAATAATTGCAAAAAATCTGCTTACGTAATACTTGAACGACCCCTAACTACTCGTCACTACAATATATGTATTTTCCTTAAAATTTTTCTATTCAAAATCAATTAGCTACTAATAACGAAAACAGCGTTCTTCCCTTAGTTACTTAGCCGTATGTACTTGAAAACACCAGATTTTTCAAATGAACTGCCAGATATCATCGTATTAGTTAAAAGATTATGTCAAGCATTTTATTATACAACATGGTTTCGTATAATTAATTTATTAACTTGTTGTGCTGACTATTTAATAGCATGGCAGATAAACTGTATTATATTGTACTTGGTAGACTTTATAACACCAAATAATTTTCATAATTACACCACGAGACTGGAGTAAGACAATAATTGTTTAACACAGTTTTTTCTCAAAAGATAGTAATTTTAATAATACGATGATTTTCTTTGATTTCAGACACAAAATCACAACATTTGCTCCCGGATTATTATTAGAGAACGATTTTAGCATCCCTCGGTGGTTTCCAACCCTTCAGTTTGGGTTCACACTCGGGAAGGAATGCCGTATTCTTTTTAAATAAAAAATAAAGAATAAGTATTACATAAAACAAGTGGACAACAAAAAAAACTATAAAGTAAGCAATAGTAATTCCAAAACCGTATCAGTGTTTACAAAAAGGTCGAAAGACAACCTTTCGAGATTACTCAAGGCGGCAAATAGTCTAAAGAAAGTATCATTCGTAAATATTATTAAAAATTTCTAATAAATTTAATTGCAAGCACTTTGGCACGTCATCGTTTCGTGGTGTTGTTATTTATTCACAAGCGGATAAAAATACTGATAACTGTACAGATCAATTAGATAAACAATTATTTGTTAAGTATGTTTTTGTTATTTACTGAACGGAATTAGTCCAACATATAGATAATGATTTAAATTGTTACCTACTAAAGTTGTTTTCGGATGGAAATTTTTCTGCAAAATTTTGCAGAGAATATAGACACACACACACACACACACACAAAATAATCCGATATGAAATGATGCATAATAACGAGGTTATCAGTATACAACAAAAGGTGAACAAAATTAATGTTCATATTACTCCATATATGTAATATTCTTACAGATGTAGATCTATTTTATCATAAAAAATATCTCAGATAAATTAATTTAATTAATGAACATCCTTCAGGTAAGGCACAGGATCAAAAAGCGTCCACAGTAACAGTTCTGATGAATGTTCTCTTATACCGATCAGAAATTTCTCATATTTACGATTTGTATTTTAAATCTTTTTTTTTTTAATTTGAAATAACCACCTAATTAATAGGTTGCATCTGCAAATACCTATTATAAATTCATAGTTAATTGTCGGTAATATATTTAATAACAGACGTGTTTAATTGTTAGAAACATGGTAATAAGTAATTTTAATGTTACTTACAACCTAATAATTATATATCTATTTACGAACAGTGTAAGAACGTTTAAAGGAAAGCGTTACCTACCACCACTGGAATATACAATCAGCTAAAGGAAAATAATGTATTTAATGAATACATTTCATTTTCCAGAAAAATTTGTGTTTATTACCAAATACATAGATATTATACAAAAGCAGGTGTTTATATTAACTATAATTACAATCCCTTATTATTATGGATGTGTACATAGTTATTAGTGGACACTGTTTTCTGATTGTAATTTTTAATACATACATATCTACTTACTTCCTTAAATCGTCAACGAATAATACATATCTTATGAGCATACCAATATTTAAATAATGAAAATGTTAATCCACATAATGCTTGTATATTTTCTATCTATACAGCCAAAAAACAATTTTTCAATGACGTTGTTGACGTATTAGGTAAAGAATAAATGTTTTAGAAAGTTTATAATAATTGTGATGCAGATGTACACAGCCAGGGTTATTCTCCTACGCAATTACCTTTTCTGTAACTTCCGCATTTTTATTGAATTTAATTAATTATTATGGGTTGTTTCTCATGATGCACTTCCAAAGCTGGGCAAAGCTTTATTTTTTTTTTTAGTCCTTTCAGGGCTTAGAATAGTTTCTTCGAGTCCTTTCGTTTAAAGTATTTTAGGCTTCGTAAACGAATTACTTCAATAATTTATAATACAAAAAGGGCTTCAAGCTTTTTGAAAGTGTTTGAAGATATTTCAATATGTTTAGAGCTTTAAACCAAATTACTTCTCAAACTATAATTGTAAATTTGAAATTTGTAAATTTTAAAATGTAATTCGACCTTAAAACATCACGTTACAATGACTCTAAAAGTGTTTGGGATTGAAGGGGGTATTTGTTTTGGTAAGGGTTTATCCGGCCCTGTACATCCTATAACAATTACATGTATTTTTCTATTGCTGTTCTACAATTATTTTTTTTTTTTTAATAAATTTGCTAAGAAATACGTTCTGCATTTATTTCGTAATAAACCGTTAAATATTATTAACGCATAATTGAAATATTTTACTGTAGAAAAATGCATTTTTTTTTATTAGAACACATTTTATGGTTGCATTAAATCTTTCAATTATTGTATTATCGTTTTTACAAACAAACATTTTTTCCTTTTCGATCATTAATTATTAGTGGTACTTCTTTTATAACAATGTATATTCACTTAAAAGTATATGTAATAATCGAAATAATTAATTGCAAAATTACGAAAAAATTACATTATCTCGATACCTGCAGATTTCAAGAAATAAATGTAAAAATACCTTTATTTTAAATATAGGCAGTACTGATGATTTAAATTAATGTGAATTTTAATATGAGTTAAAGTTAAACCATAAACACGTTAACACATAATAGAACAATTTGTATGGCAATCAGATGTGTATTTTACGTTCCACGACTGTTTTTATTATAAACCTTTCAGCAATATAGTGGCTGTTTTATTACGTAAACAAAACAATTTATGCAAATTTTTTAATCAAACCGGTCTTTTTATATTCAGGCCAAACTCAATCGAATTTCGTTTGCATAGTTCATTTGTATTAGGAAAACATAAAGTACAAAAAAATTATGTAAGCGAAACGTCAAAACACTTTACCTTTTCGTCTTCCAAAGGGTCCCAGGAAGGCATTGTTTTTACCGATAATGTTATCTTCGATGTACTTGAGCAGTTTTGCTACGTCTTCAGTCTTTTTAGGGGCATTGTTATTGGCTTTTTGTTTTACAACACGCAGAGGATAATCCTCAGGAAACGAATATAATTTTCTATTTCCATATGACTTCCTTATTGTAGTAGTAGTCATACTTCGCGCATTATTTAAACCGGGGATCAAATGTTACACCTTTTTAAAATGCACCGATCGGAAGCTAAGTACCTTTAAACACGACGAGGAGACGAAAACATACGCACTATTACAAACAACAGCTTGCACTTGTCGGTCAATTCGTTCAACTCCAAGCTTTTAATATCTGATATGCACTTCGTCAGCAGTACGATCGATCAAAGTCGGAAACCGAACACGCAATAAAAATTTTGTTTTCGCGATTTATGGTAGGCAACCTCCCTTACACATTGTATATTAAAGCTGCTTCTAAACGTGAAATAATCTAAAACTACCCCTAAGTCCACATACATAAGAAAAGTTACTTAAATTTTTTCCTAATTAATATCTACCTTCTTTATAGATTTGGAGAAAAAATTAATTTTGATTATGTCCTAAATAAACTATAAAAAAATCGAAAAACCTCAAATCGATTCTTTTATAACAAATACGGACTGATTTCACCCCATATTTACTTTAAACTGTTACAGCTGTATCTACAATAACAATTAATTTATTATGGTTCGTTCGGCAGTTTCATCATCATCATCATAAGGTCGTCAGTCAGACAGCTTACGATTAAAAAATTAATTATAAAAGTAACATTTTTCTTCTCTTCTCATTTATAATAGTAATTAACTCCCTAAGAAAATATAAAATAAATGAACTATTTTTGAAAAGTTCCTTTCTGCTTTCCTTAGTTTTTGCACCCTTGATGCTACAATGCCTTTTAGATCAACTCAAAATAATAACTTTATTGTTTGTGTATTTACTACTTAATTATAAGAATAATTATCTTATAATACTGCTTAATAGCAGTACTTTAAACTAAATAGTTAAATTAACTGAATGTAATATTAAAACGACTTTTATTTTAATAAGCTGTTAATTTATTTATTTTGGTTTTTAGTTAAATTCAAATAACAAATTTTAAGTCAAAAATATATCAAAAATATGAATTACAAGATTATTTTACAGGTTTCATTTGCCACAAACCATCATTTAAATAATGAACATTTTCTATTCCAACTCCTTTGTTTACCTTAGCTCTGGAACAAGAATATATAAAAAATTAAATAATAACATAGTAAATTACCTTTTAAAGACTTACATTTCTTCAGTTGAAAGTGATGTTAGACCAATAGCTAGAGCATGTTGTTTTCCCTCAGCCATAATAGCCTACAAATTAAAATAATATACATAGTAATAAAACTGTAATTTAAATATGAATAATCAGTTATTCTTCATATTAATATACAATTGTTATTGCTACTGCTAAAAGAAATACCTTGTAAAATAAAAAATGAGCAAAAGAAACCCACTTACAACAATTGCTCCTTTTGGAGCTTCTGTCATTCTAGCACCAGGGGATGTTAAGCCAGGACACATGATGTTTGCCCCACTTAAAACAAATTTAATTGCTCCTTTATCCACTTGTTCCATAGGCAAGAAAAATGGATCTAAGAAGAATATAATGTATAATTGTAAATAGATCAAAATTAAAAGAAACTATACATTTATGTAACAGCTTCAATGTAGGCATCCAGGGCCCTTCTCTTTGTCTAAAGAACAGTAAATTTCCAGTGCTGTTAACTACAATTTCTACATGGTCATGGCTTAAAAAAATCACATTACTGGATTACATTAATAGCTTTATTTGGGAATACCTACCATTTTACTATTCTAATTGCATCTTTTTTAGGGAGTATATTATCGATATACCCTTCTAAGTGAGGGTACTGTTCAATTAGTTTATTTCTAATGCCCTTTTGGACAGACGATTTTAGTTGTAAAATGCCTGATATGCTTTCTTTTTCATCAAATCTAAAAGAACAATTAATTAATAAATATACAATATCTAAACGTATTACTTACTTTTTAAACATTCTGAACTTGATTTAAAATTGATAAATTAAGGTTATAATTTAGCTATAATTTGTAGGTTAAGCTTGTGGAAACTATCCATAGATACAGTATACTATAGATAAGGTAAAAACAGTATGGAAACAGCTGTAATTGACTGCATATTGGTGACAATTTAGTTAAAGTCTGCAACAGCCAGCAATAAATAAGTCAGAAATGTAATAGTTCGAAGGTGTTCCTAATTAATAATTTGATGCCCTTACAACTTTAATGTCATTAACTATTAATATCAATTGAATTTAATACAATGACGTCTTTGCCAGAAGTTCCTACAGACGAACTACTTAATTTCCAAGATTTTCCAACTGGTAGTGAACAGCATACTGTTCGTATTGAGACAACAAATCCTTCCCTAACGATTGATAATTTCGATAAAAAGGAAGATTATAAGGAAGACAATGAGACAAAAACAAAGTCATTTTGGACACTGGAATACTATCAACAATTTTTTGATATAGACACAGATGAAGTATTGCATAGAATCTTTGCTTCCATTAATCCAAAAGAACCTTTGGGGCTAAAACTTGAAACTAAGCCTGACTTATATGGGCCTTTTTGGATAACAATAACACTAATCTTCACTATTGCAGTCAGTGGAAATATGGCAAGTTATCTCCATAAAGCAGATGTTAATTATCACTGGAAGTATGATTTTCATCTTGTATCATATGCTGCCACAGCTATTATAAGTTACATTTGTATTGTTCCTTCTGCAATTTGGTTTTCATTGAAGTGGACCATTCCACCAACAGATGTAGATTTAACTCGTATACCAAGTATTTTTAAAATTATGTGTCTGTATGGGTACTCACTGTTCATTTACATTCCTATATCTATTTTATGGACAGTCCAAATTGTCTGGTTTCAGTGGTTATTAGTAATATTTGCTGCATCATTATCGGGGTCTGTTTTATTGTTAGCCTTATATCCCAGTTTGAGATTGTCAAACTTTAAATTAATCTTTGCATTTGCAATTATATTATGCCACTTCTTTTTAGCATTAAGCTTTATGCTATATTTTTTCCATGTTCCTAATCATCCACCCACTAATGTTTCATCCCCACATCCTCTTATTAATGTACCATTCTCACATTCTATTAATAAAACAGGAAATGCTTAGTACACTGTTTTCTTTTGTTAAAATGTCTTAATATTTTGAATTTTGTAAATAATACAAGAAAAATAAAACATATATCATTTACAGCCATTATTATCTAATAGCAAGACTTCAGTTTCAAATAAAAAAAGAATTTTAAATTTGATTTCCATTAACTGGTATGATTCATCTTCGTTGTTTTTATACCTATGTATATATCAATATTTAGTAAGCTTGTGTGCAAATTATATACTACGAATATTTACAACGTACATATGGTTGTCGGTTGTGAGACAGCTTTCATACGTAGAAATTTTAATGTGTTTTTCTACATGTACACAAAACTGTTTGCGTACAAACTATGAGTCTACTTACAAAAAGTTTAGGTATTATTATTATTATTGTTACTGTGTGAGTTTGTACACAAGTTTTACAGTCGCCAGCAGACAATTTGACGCCTTCAAATTGCCGGAAACGAAGTAAACATCATTGCAGATGGATATTTTCTTAACACAGTAGAACAAAAGAAAAAAGAATTAATTGTACAATTTCATTTCGGTGTGATTTACGATTACAACATTATTATTATCATTCTTTGTTATTACTAAAACAACTATAATTGTATTAATTTATTATAAAAGCAAATGTACAAGGTCAGACGTATAATATAAATGATTTTACGCAAAAAATTATTGTTTTTTATGTTTCACGAGCGCAAATGCGTAATTTGATGACCATGTAATATATATATATATATTTTCTGGAAATATCTCCTGCTTTCTCTGAAAACTATTGTAAACTAGTCGAACTTTTAAAATCTTTTGAACATCGCGGAATACCCCTCCAATGCTTCAATAATTTTATTATTATTTCATCATTTATATGAAAAGATGATTGAAGATTTTGTATGAATTTCTCTATGCCACGTCCTAGTTTTCAAAAGGTAACGTATATGGAAGTCCCAGAATCTCAGAGTATTCAGGATAACCATAAAGTCTAAACTGCATTTATTGAATTTTATTATTATTTCATCATTTATATGAAAAGATGATTGAAGATTTTGTACGAATTTCTCTATACCACGTCCTATTTTTCAAAAGATAACGTATATGGAAGTCCCAGAATCTCAATCAGAGTATTCAGGATAACCATCAGCAATCTTTTAAAAAATGACCTCATTAAAATTGCACAGTAAATCTGTTTGCCCAGTTAATGATAGCTACTGTATTTTTGAACTTATTACTACCATATAATCATTCAGCTGCGATACGTCAGTATAAATCATACGTGATTTTAATTACAATTTGCAAAAGTTCCAAAGGTTATCTGCAATAACTTCNAGTAGTCATTTGGTTTTTAGAAATATGTATTTACACATTTTTAAGTTTACTTAATTTTTAAACTGAATATATTTACTACATATCAATAATAAAATTCTTAATATATTTTATCAAATTAGTCACAGATTTTAGAAAATTACTTTTCATGGGAGTGCACCCAAAAATTTGTAATTGTAATAATGAAATAACGCTTTATTTGAAATGATTAGTTGATTTTTTGAGACACAAATATGTATCCAATACAGAAAATTTAAAATTCCTTCATTTATTGCTATATTACACAGAAAATACGTTTCTTTTCATTATTCTTTGCTTGTATTACTAATATTAGTCAATAATGTAAGCATGAATTTTACCTGTTGTCTGAATGTATGTCCATCTCATGGTTTCCAAATTAAGTGAGAAAACTGCATTTGTGAATGAATCACTTTCTTCTTCAAATCCTCCAAATATGTACATGTAATTTTTCCAAACAACAGCTGTATGGCCATCCCTTGCCAGAGGAATGTCCCCACTGGTCTTAGTTGCTGTCCAGCAGTGCCAGGTTGTGTTAAAGCAAAACAAATTTGAACATGAAGATCTATCATTCCTGCCTCCCCAGATATACACTTTATCTTTATAAACTACTGCTGTATGACCATATCGTTTGAAAGGCAGTATATCATCATTTTCATAGTAATTTAAGTCACTAATGGGATGCTTCATCCAACGAAACGTGATTGTATTTAACACATGCACGTCCATTGATGTATATTCTCTTGAGTTTTCACCTGTGCAGTATCCACCAAATGTGTAAATTTTGTGACCAACTATTACAGCAGCATGATTTACACGTTTAGGTCCTCCTTCAAGATGGGTGATCCACTTCATTTTCAAGCATTAATTGTCCATTTATTTTAAGTTTTTGGCAAACACTACTTTGAAAATTAATTTAAAATAACGTATGGATTTTTACATTGTGTTACATCTTCTACAAGTACGTATTTACGAATCTTTATGTGGTAATATTAGAACGATAATGACCTCACTTTTATTTCCTGTTTACTTATTCAATTGTTATACAATTGGATGTTAATCGGTTCCTATTTCATAATATATTTAATTTATTGAGGTACATCACAATTTTTTTTATTAACGTTAGAATGGTTATAAAATGGTTATAAACAACTAAAAATGTAGAACGTAATTTTTTTCGACAGGTTTCTGACGTTTAATACCATAGATAATAGTTTAATACTATAGATAAGTTTAACACCATAGATGAAATAAACTGAAATAAACCTTTATTTCTACGGTTTACCAATATAGAAACTTTTTTATAGATAGTTTTAAGTTGTTTCCGTTATTATGTCTGGTTAGTGTATGACTTGTGCATTGGTATATTTCGAGTCGGTTAACATTTCATTAAAATTATCTCATTTTCATTTAAGTAAACTCATACGGTCGTGTACAGTGTGTATTAATTAGCGTCTGCTACCAGGAAGTTGTAGTGTAAGTATAGGTAAATTGGGTACCTCGGTTTTAACCATGGTTATAACCACGATAAGCAGAGTTATGACCATAAATTAACTAATTTCATGCAAATTTTATTAAATAAATAGGTGATTTGTACAAAGGAATATTATAGTAATTAATTAAATTAATAACAGCAATTTTTTTAAATTATCATAAATATTTTATAGTATTTTAACCAAAATTAAATTTATGGCAGATCCTAGAGTTAAACCTAGCCCTAAAAAGACAGCAATTAAGGCTGATGCACTTTCCTTTTCGTGTTCATCCACGATTCTGAAAAATAAAAGGAACGTTTATTTTTCGAAAAATTCTTATATCTATATAAAATAATTACCTTGAAGTGCAAATAACGGGAAGGTTTGTTAAATACCCGTTGGTTAAAGCAAAAAGGTTTAAAATAATAATATAATGATAATCTTCTTTAATTAAAACAGGTAAAGAATGCCTTGGTTGGGCATTACAAAATAACAGTAAGGGAACAAAGATGATCCTTAATAAATTAAAAATTATCAGCAGTGACTTTCTTTCAGGCTACAAATTAATTAGATCTGAATTAGATAATGTTTAATTATTTTATTATTTACCCTTTGAAAGAAACCTGCGAGTAACCTCCCACTATAATCTGAGCAGTTTACCAGTAAAAATGCAACAACTGGTACGAAATATAAATCTAAAAAAAAAAAAAAAAATTAAGAGGCTAACTACTTATAAATAACGAAATATTTTCTTCAGTTTTTAAGCACCCTTTCCACCTAAATAAGTCATCGTTTATATTGTTATAAGTAAGAGAAGTCTTAAAAGTTCTTATAAATAAAAAAAATAATAAAATTTTCTGCATAATTACCATTCCATCTGTTACCATTTCCTCGGTTTTTTGATTCAATTAATACTGTTATACCTGGGTAAACTGATAGGGTTACCATAAAAACCAATAATACGGATACTCCATGGAGCCAGATCTTTTTTAAAATTGTCCTGTGAGATACAATGTTGGTCGTCTCATCATAAGTATAAGCCCCATCTGGTTCATTCTGTACGATATGTTTAAAAAATATAGATTTTGACAAGAAGAGATATGCAATTAAGCAAAAGACGATAGTGATATTTGCTATCATAAAATAGACAAATGCGCTATGGACCGAAGATGCTCCAATAGCCAGGGATACTATTTGGGCTATTGCAGCGAAAATTCCCCCTAACGCTTGACCACCTACAACTGCAGTAATGTATTTGGCTGGAAATTTAGCTACCATCCCAAAGATACTTCCGCATAAAACTGCACTTACAGCTAAAATTACGAAATATTTACTAATAAGCAATACAGACCTGTACATTCTTTCGAATTTTGCATAGATATCAATAACAATTACATACCATTTAAAAGAACGACTGTCGCTATTGTCAATACAAAAAAATGTTGTTGCCCTAAAAACAGAAAAATTAGTTTAAATAACATTTTAAATTAAGATAAATTCATTTATTCAGGTACAAAAAAAGAAATTATATTAGCAGGGAATGAGGAAATTGAACTAGAACTACCCGCGTAAAAAGAAAATTATTTAAGTTTTTGTTTTTGATTTTTCTCAACATATGGATGCAAGTTTAAAACTTTTGCAAAATATACTTTAACATAAATAATATAATAACAACAGCATTAACTAGGAAATATTTAAACAAAACAATGTGATTTAACATGTCGATAAGTTGACCTTTTGCATGGCTTAGTTATAATATTTCGCGGTCTGTACATAATTATAATAAATAACTGACGTAAATTATTTCCTTCCATGATTGGAATACTTTTTGATATTGTTTTTTATCTACTTCTACACATTTTTTAAATTTTATTCTAGAAAGACCATAACAACACATAACACCTAGTTTGGCTTGCTTTATAGTTTTGAAAAGGTTTTTAAAGGATTTATTATATTTTATAATTTTCTTTTGTCTTTGTTGAAAAACTGTTATAAGTAACTGTGCTCCACTTTAATGTACTTAATATTATATATAAAAGAAATTATGAGTGCTGTCAGCACGGGCAAAGTAATATTACGTAGTTAGTATCAGCAATTTCTTATGCTGAAGTGTACGATGTGTTGCATACCTATTTACAAACAATTCCTTTAAATTTTAATCATTGATTACTATACATCTATTGAAAAAAACATAATGGCCGACATCAGTGACAATGCGACAACAATTGAAAAAGAATGATGGCCGACAACTGCAACAATTAAAAAAGAATGATGGCCGACATCAGTAACAATGCGACAACAATTGAAAAAGAATGATGGCCGACAACTGCAACAATTAAAAAAGAATGATGGCCGACACTACGTCAAAGTGGAGCAATAAAAATGGCCGGGGCAAGAGGACGAACTAGTCCTAATTAATATTATAAATGTCAATGTGAGTTTGTTTGTCTATTGTCATTTCATGGTACATGGGGTACCTTTTATCAAAAAAAAATACTGTTAAAAAAATTCTTTCCTGTCGATCAAGAAGGATAATATTTACTATTATTCTGCGCAATGTGGATGTTTAACATAGATAATTAGAAACTTAAGTTTTATCCTGACGTTCTTCGTCAGGACTTAAGAACAAATTTATCAAAGTATTGCATTTTCGATGATCTTTGAGACGTATGTAGGACAACAACGCGAGCGAAGCCGCAGATAAAAGCTAGTTGTAGATAAATTTTTTGTTAACAAATTACCGTTATATATTTTAGAACTATAAGTGGTACATGTTAGCACAGTAACGTAAATTTTATTTCAAACAGAAAATTGACTTGTGAAAATATATAGACATATATTGAAAAATAATTACGACAATAAATGCAGTACTTACATGAGTCGGTATTAATTTGCACAAAAATTGTTGTGACTATAAACAAAATTAGCATACTTATGAGCGAACCAATAATTCTGTATTGCAGGGCAATTCTAAAAAACAATATTATTACTTACGAAAATAAATACTTTCTCAATATTTAACTGTCGTACAAGGGTAATCAAAAAATTCTCAGTTATTGAATTATTGCAATGAATTAATTCAACGTCGTGTATCTCTTTAACTATCAATGAAAGGGGACATCTTAACTGGAGACCAAATATAGAAAGTAAAATGGTAATTAAGAAGGTCGTTTTTCTTGTGACTTAACTGCGGGCCTAACCCAAAGTTCAAGGGGTGTGAAATCATTAATGCTTATCTTGTACATACAGCAAAAAATAAACTTGAATTTTAAATTATAATTCCTTATACTTTTTATGTAGTATTAAAAGCTATTATGAGCTATGTAAAAACATCTTAGAATTTTACTTTTGATCTGAGGTTTTTGTTCACAGTTAATCGCTCATTAGGGCTTGTTAGGTAGACAAAAATATTTGATCCGCAATGCGGTCGCTCGTTTACAACAGTCCGCAATTTGGTGCGACCAACTTTATGTTAAGAAATATCATTAATACTATTCAAAATCAAAGCCAAGAGGGAAGTAAAAACCAATTAAAAAAAATATTATATTTATTATAATCAATAACCGTTTCTCCTTTTTGTTTTTACCTCCCATTCTTTCAACAATATTATCTTAAAAAAGGGAAAGTGCCTAATGCGAATTGAATTTGGTACTTACTTTTTAGTTAGAAATGCGTTTAGAATGAGAAATGCTATGCTTGGAATATTAGAAGCTACGTTTAAATAAGTGATGAATTCGGCTTGTAGGGGCGTACGTTGTGTTAAATTTAACGCTACATTTGGATGTATTTGTTTAGCGTGAGGGTCCCGGAATTTGTACATCCAGTACTGAAGTTAAAAAACGTCCCTATTACAAAATGCTCAGGTACAAAAATTTAATTGAAGTGTAACTTACATTATCAGCAGTAATAAAAAAATTCCATGGCAAAAGTGAAGTGATTCCAAATAGATAAAATATGATATACGCCAAATAATAGTTATCTGCAGGCTGACCAGTTTTGAAAACGTAATCAATATTTCTATCATTTGAATCGTTGGTAGAAATCACAATTTCATTGTCGATATCAGAATCTGTGTCCTCTTCATCCAACAAAGGTTTCGTGTTGATACTTTTCTCTTGGTACTTTAACATTATGTTGTGTTTTTATTATGTACTTTAAATGATTCACATTGCTTTTCTTTGTTTTTGTATCATCCCACATCCATTGTCCATTACTGTTTAATTACTTATACTGTAATAAAACACACGCTCTTACAATCAACTAACTACATAACTCAACTGCTGACATAACTAAACTGATGGACAACAAAGATGTAAAACTAGGAGATACGAGCTCGTTTTGTATAACAAGCAACAAAAGTTGTGTTGTTATAAACAATATAGTTACAGTGCTATTCGGAAATGGTGAACCAAGTTGAACAATTTGAAGTTCATCATATATAATATATGATTGCCGTTAATTTATTAAACAATTGTGCTTAAGCGATAGAAATTTCTGAGGGTACCATATAAATATTTATAAACAAATCAAAATGATGAACTGAAATGTACCAAATCAGATAAATTCAATATGTTGACTTATGAAAATGTTTTTAAATTAAATTATTTTATTTCGTTTTTAATGTTATTTTTCTATTTCAGGTTTTAGTGACTTTAGTGATTTGCCAATTTCTTTTTCTGACCTTCTATACGGTGAGTTTTTAATATTTTATATTTAAACGATATTTTTTATTTTGGATTTGTTGCAAATAAATTAATAGACAACTATGAAATAAAATACCTGCGCTATGTGTTCTTCATACCAGAAGTATAACTGACTTTTTTTGACCTTAACCAGTAATATACCGTTTATTTAACGTTTGGTTAAAGTGAAAGTAGTTTTACCGTAAATGCGTTGACACTGAAATCTGTTTTAAATTTTATTCACATATGGAATAAATGGAACGATATTAACTTGTACTGAATTTTTAGCATATGTCTTATTATACATATGTAGTTCCTCAACGAATTAGAGATTTTGAAAAATCAGTATGAAAGTTAAGACTATTTTTTTTAACTTAACTTGAATTAAAATATTAAAACAGAATAAATTCATACAATCAAATACAAAAAAAATTAAAATTTACAAATTAATTTATGAACCATTTGTTTTTATGTTTTATATGTAATTTAATACTCAATGCATTTTTTGAAACAGTTCTTCCTTATAATCAAATTAAAGTTGAATGAAAAACTTAAATTGATTATTTCATCCTGCCGAGTTGTTAGGTCTGTTGATGGTTATTTTATTTGGGGAAAACATATTTTTATACTCCACTCTGAAATAAATTAAATGACATTAACGATTTATGATTAATTGTCCTGTAAATCTATTAATTAGTGAATGTTTTAATGTTTGAAATTTTATTTGAAAGCATACTTTAAACAGTGTGGAAGAGATGAAGTGTCTAACTTGTACTTCCTGACTGTTAACATGCAAAGTGTCTTGAGTGAAGGATGAAAATCTAGAATATGCATGTCACTGTGGTCAATCAATTGATCATCTATGTTATCTCCATCGAATTGCTCTTGTGCACCAGGAAAAAACGAAACAGGGCTAAAATTAAAACTTTTAAAACAACAGTCAGATTTATACAAAGTTAAAAATTTTTACCTGGTACCACCAAATAAGAAAAGTCTATCTCCACTAACTATACATGCTTGTCTCCTTCTATTACAAGGTGCTTTTCCTAATGGATTCATCATTTTCCATTCTAGAGTGACTGGATTGAATTCAAACATATCATTGTAATGCTCAACAAAGAGGGCATTGTATCCTCCAAAAATGTACATTTTGTTGTTGTGAACAACTTAAAATATAATATAATTAACAATATTAATAAAATTGATAATGTACAATTTAATAACGTAATGAAAAATAATAGCACATTCATACAGGCCGAATGACTTCTTCTTCCAGTAGGTGGTGTCCCAATGGTATGTGGACGATGCCATTCATTAGTTTGCAGGTCAAGAAACCATAAATTATTGCAGTATATTTCTTTGCCAGGTACATATAAATTAAATGGAGATTCAGTTCCTCTTCCACCAAAAATATACATTTTATCATTTATAACAGCAGCTGTGTGGAAATCTCTCATAGTTGGTTCAGATCCTGCAAAATTTTATGAAATATTAGTCACTGGTTCTACTTCTTCTAGTGTTCTGCTACAGTTAATTAAGGTAAAATGCTAATTTGAAAAGTAGTCATTTGGTTTTTAGAAATATGTATTTACACATTTTTAAGTTTACTTAATTTTTAAACTGAATATATTTACNGGCTGGCTCCGGCTCCTGCTTAGGTGAGGAGACGTTTGACGTGAGATCGTTTCTTCTGGTTCAAAATAATCGAAATTAGTTTCTAATGAGGCCTCGCTCTTTGCCTTAGGAATATGTACATGCTGACCAACTTGCGGCTGGTCAAAATCAGTCTCTAAAATATTGGCCGACTTGGGCCTTTCAGAAACGAATGCTTCTGAATTCTCCAAAGCGACCGTATTATAATCTGGAGAAAACTGCAAGTTCTCCAGTTTTTGGGCATAAGTCGGGGAAGATTTTTTAGGTTTTGGCAGTATAGCTGGGGGATCTGGTGGGGCTGGCAAATCTACGAGGGCGTACTTTTTTGGTTTTTGTTGATAACCGTTCCTTTGGACTATCGGAGGTTTTGTTTCTTCTGGCATACGTTGAATTTCTCTATAATAACCGTTATTTCTGTTAGTTTCTTCAATTCCTCTCTTTAAATCTAAGGTGGATGTTGAAACACCGTGGTCACTTGCCAGGGGTAGGGTGTCGGTATTGTAATAGTCGTTTGGTGGATAGGATAAAGAAGGAGCGCTGTTTTCAGAATGTATTATTGGAGTTTCTTCATTGATCGAACTTTCTGCTCGAGATTGATTTGCGCTTGCAAACGTGGAGTTATCTCTAAATCCTTCGTTTCTAAATGCCAATCCGTTAAACGAATCTGTAGAATACTGCGTTGCAAATTTGGGCTGGACTTTTTGGTAATCGATTGTGGGATTGTACGCAAAGCCAGACGGATTTGGATTATGAGTTTCGTAAATATCGTAAGATTGGGAATCGTCTATTGAAGAACTGTAAGTAGATTTTTCCATACTGTCTATCGAACCGTTGCTCGTCACTTTTTTGTAGTCGGAAGTTTTTGTCAAGGTATCGGTGGATCTTGAACTCTGCAAAAAAGAACTTAAATAAGAAATACTTTGCATTTTAAACATTTCGGTACCATTTGTGTGCCTTTCCTTTTGAAACTACTATCTGCGTATGCTCCATGAATTGAACCCAAAGATCGTACAGAATGAAGACTTTGACGGATGCTGTTTCTTCGTTCTAACCTCTGAGCTTGTCTGTATTTTGACTTACTCCACCAGCAAACGGCGATAAGAACGATAAGCAATAATCCTATAGCTGACGTACCGATTACCGCAATCGTAATAGCATCGCCATACCAAGTCAAGGGATCAATAAACACTTTTGGATCTGGAAATAGATTAAAGAAAATCGTAAAATTATTTTTTTAAAAGTTATTAGAAAGCTTACCAATTTCGCAAATAAACGGTTGTCTTCTTGTACAATCGGTGACTTCGACAGTTTGATATGAGAACATGGTACACTGGTTTACCATGTCTATGTGTTGTACCCAAACCCTATCAGAGTAAAGATACCATTGCTGTTGATGCCTCAAAAAGTTAAATAATTGGAGATAATTGACGTTTCCTATAAGGAATGGCATTGAAGCATTGTCTTCCTAAGAAGGAAAAGTTTCATTTAGAAAGTTCAGATTTATTTGTTATGGTGTAAGGAACATACTTGACAAAACCTTCTAGCTTCGTAAAAGGACATTGGCGCTCCTATGTAAATATAACAAGTATCTCCAACAAGGTCCCAACCAGGAGGGCATTTTCCGTCCAAAATGGTTTCGTTGTTCATGTAAAATGGCTCGTACGACACTTCTAACAATGTTGGGTCATCCCTTTGGTCCCGAATGCGCCCCGATACAGCTAACGTAGTGTTATATCCCCAATAATTATATTCGGCGTCAATCCTCGTTTTCCATATTTCCAGTGTACTAAAAGGATAACAGGAATTGAACTCCATCAATAATTTTAAATGAGTACTACTTAAAGTAGGAAATAGTTAGGATCAAATGACTGTATTTAGTGAAGTCATAGGATTAAATGGTTGTAATATTTTGTTTCTGTTTTTTAATTTGGTTGTGCTCTTTTGTGCAAAAGCATTCGTTTAGTAATACAGTAGAACCTCTTTAAGTCGAACCTCGATAAGTCGATAACTTATAAAATTCGAAAAAATGTTTTGTTCCCTTCCCTTCAAGCCTCAAAACCTCCATTACTCGAAATCTCAACCCTCTATTAGTCGAAATAATTAGTGAGTCCCTGCAAGCCATTTTTAAACATATTTTCCCTCTTTAACTCGAAAAATTAAATTGGACCTCTGTACCTCGAACATAGCAATGTTTTATTTTACAACCTTTACAACTCGATAATTTGAAACTTATTACGTCTATAGTTCGAACAAAACTATGTTATTGACTTTAAGGATTTGCTGACAATGTGAGTACACCAAATCTTAACCTCTACAAGTCGAATCAAAAAGTCAAAATCCTTCATAAGTCGAAAACACTATAACTCAAATTTTTTGGCGTCTCCCTTGATGTTCGAGTTATAGAGGTTCTACTGTAACATCATAAATCAGCATCAAATAAAGTCTAAGCAGTAGTTTAATATTGTTTTTTTTTGTTTTATTAAAATCTAGCAAATATTCTTACCTGCTAAAGTTAAATCTGCACACATGCACCATGCAACATGGAAATAAAAAAAAATTGAATTACTTATGTATGTACCTAATAATCGCTTACGTAACTTTATATCTACTTGAAGTTATCTAAAAATTGTTTACACCTCTATCTACTATTTTACCTTTGCTTCTCGCTATCAACTTCAACTATATTATAGATATAACATATACTACAAATATCCTATAATCATTTAAAATTTTGCTAAAAACTATTATTTCATGCTAAGTTCGATTACTTTTTCGCTACGATTTTGAAAAATACGTATGCGCAAATCATAATGAAAAATGGAAAACTACTCACAAAGATCTGTTCACCGTTATCATTTCGTAATCATTATCAGGATTGAAAAATATGTTATCAACGTAGTGTTGCCCCGCAGTGCCTGCAATAACGGTTGATCTACTATCCCTATGCATTGCGTAATTACTGTAATCGAAAAAGAAAAACATTAATTTATTTATTTTACAAAACGTATATCATTTTGGCTTACTGATAAAAACCATTATGGGACGTGGTTTGATAAATTGGTAATCGAACCCTGTCGAAGCCAGAAACTTCCAAGTTTTGCAATCCTATGTTTCTCTTTATGTAATTGAAAGTAAAGTTAGAAACGACTTGTTTTAAAACTATGTTATTTTCGTAATTTGCAACGTTCCTGGTGAAGTAATTTCTGTAAACGGTTACTTCTTGGTACGGGGATGATTTACGCCCTTCGACGTAAAGGGCTGGTAAATTGCTGTTGTTCACGAAGAGATTGTTATATATGTAGCCTTTGAGAGAGGTTGCTGAACCTCTAGAGTCTGCTTTAATCAGTAGTCCACCCTGATTACTTTGAACTAAATTATTCTAAAGCGAAAAAATAATTATTGTTTTCTGAAGTGGTTCTAAAAACAATAAAAATTTTATATGTAGAACACCTACCCGGAAGTACAGCGTTTGAGTGTTTTGGACGTCAATATTAACGGCACCCTTGCACGTGGTAAAATTTCCGTAGAGTTTTTCACAATTTTCAATAAACTGACTCTTCTCAATCGTCACTATTGGATTGACTTCTCCCGCTGTCATATACAGAATTCCACCTTCACGATTATTAATTATTGAAGATGTGGAAATGTTGTGTTGAACGTCTCTATCTGCAGAGTAGTTTATGTCGTAATTTTCGCAATATTAATAAGCACTTGATTATAATACTTACTAAAGCCAATTGCTGAAATGGGAAGTGTAACTATTTCTGCGATGAATCCAAAATTGGAAGACGCCCCTTTTGCGAATAGTTTAATACTCAAACTAGGATTTTTAGTGGTAAAGAAAGTTTTTTCTTGTGACCCGTCCATCGAAATCCGTGCTATTAACGTCGACGTTACATTATAAATATCGCCATCGTAGAGGTCAATAAAGTCGGGAATACCATAGCTTTCTGTTGCATTGAACAAGTTGAATTGTAGAAGCCTAAATCCAAATGGCTTTACGTTGTAAGCGCTCCTGAATATTTTAATACAGCTAACAGGATGATTATCATATTTGTAGTACAAAACAACCCTCTCTTCGATTTGTATTTCTTTAATCGTGTCGCATATATCGATTAAACCGAAGAGATTGTAAGGGATGTTGAGGTCTTTCAGTGGAGTGAAACTGGACTCTGCAGATTCACGACCTTCTCCCGTTAGTGATAAGATGTTTATGCCTACTCCAAGGGTGTTTTGAATATTATTTTCCAAAAGAACTATCGTTTTTGTCGGCGATATCAAGTTAATACCGTGAGAAGCTGTCCTTGTGATGTTTACGAAATTTATTCTAGGACTTCTGGTGATGGCCTGAATAGCAGGTGATTTTTCATTGTGTAATATTCCCGCTCCAACGATATTAATAAGTTCTAAAACAGACTCTTCCGTTTTAAAAGTATTGTGAGTTTTTACATCATGAATTCGATGTTCGTAGAAATGCTGTTCGAATTCTGGACTGGCAAATCGTATTCCTCCCCAGTATTCCTGGTCTATGCGGAGATTTCTCTTTCCGCAGTGAATAAATATGAACTTGGAGTTCCATTTGCAGGAGTGCCTATGTCCGTATTGTTGACCATTCAATCTTATAGGACAGTCTTCATAACGGTCTTCTCTGCCAGTACATTGAAGGGGTTCAGGCCAAGACCAAATCCTCGTCAACGAGTTACTGTGGTACTCTATTCTTATGTCGTAATCGAAAAAGACATTAATGGAATCATATCCTAATTCCCTGCAAACCACCTGTGCATTCCTTTCGGTAAAACGAGGATCGCACATTGGGATCCATTGGAGTGTTGTTTTATTAAGATATTCTAGGAATCCTTCGTTTGTGATTGTTTGGTCTTTATCTGAACAGCTTTTGTCTTTACATAATCGAATACTTTCTCCTGCGTACAAGTTTTCAAGTTCTCGTCGATTCTGTTTTTTTATTTGTGGAAGATAATGAGGAGCTTCTCTTTTCCGGAGGACGAGGCTTATCTCAGGATGATGAAGTTTCGGAATCGGTCTCATGATAATTTCATAGCCTTTAAAACCGATTGCCTTCAATGTTCCAAGTACTAAAATCCCAACATTAGGTGCAAATTCCATTACTACACCTGGTTGAATTGAAAGTGTAGTCCCTGGCATCACAGTGATATCGGAGGAAATACGATAGGGGGTGTTTCTTGCTTCGATGACGAGATCTTCTGTCAAACGTCCTCCCAAATTATCCAAATCGATTGGTTTTTTGGTTTCGAAAGATACTGATACACTTCCTACGAATGAGTTCTCTAAAAGGTACGGTTTAAATACCGCAACGGCATGATCGTTCCAATCGTCGAAATCAAAGATTCTTGCCTCTATTTGTCTTTCTTCATTTGTGCCCCACCAATTTTCTGTGATGTCTAGGAAATTATTGATCTTTGCCGTTTTAATCCCCGCTATTAGTTGATAATCCAGTGCATTATCCCATAATAGATTTCTATTTACTTTTACTTTTTGTATACCTCTGAAACCAATTACTGTGGTTGGGTTTGCGAAAAATCCGGGTTGCCCACCCCGAGTAAGGACAGAAATGTAGCGATTATTCTTTAGTTCATTGTATACAAATCTAGCTGGCACTTCCCCGAGTATTTCAGATTGACTGTTGGAACTAAATTCAACAATTACTTTTCCGTTGTTGTTATCGAACGTGTTGTAATCTATCAGCATCTTCTTTTCCATACCTTTGAATGACAAGAGTGTATTTTTACATTGGTTCTCACTGAAGGTACTTTTAGTTATGTTCACTATCGCAAAATGACCGTTGATGACAATTCTGAAGTTTTTGTTTCTTCTCCATGTCACGTTGTTCATATATATTGAGTGAGTGAAATTTTCGTTGTAATCCCAAACGAAAGGAAGCAATACTTTAAATCCTTCGTCGTTATTCCTTTCAAAAGTGTTGTCTTGCAATACGTAATGAAATAAGTTATTGGAATAACGTAGATCTCTGGAAAACTGTTCGATTCCTTTGCCATTATCGACTATCAAAGAATTGTTTATCATAATGATTATTTCTGAAATGTTGCTCTTATGTAAATCCCAAAACGGCGAGTGGGTTAATATTGCTCCCTTTACGTTATGAGAAATTTCACATCCAACGAATTTTAGTGTTTCATTGGCTTTTCTAAGGAAGTGATTTCCGAGTTCGTCCAGGTATCTGTTATAGTAAGATACGTGGACACCGTACTGATTGTTTTTGATAATAGAGTTTGTTACTGTTAATGTTGGTACTGGACCTTTTTTGATCCTTTTTGGGATATTTTGAACCGGTGCTGTAATCGAACTCACCACTATCACAACTCCTCCAAGAGCAGTTGATCCACTCAAGTAATCGAGAATGATTCCGTAGCTGCTTGATGTGGCTGGAAATACCGTTAAATCCCGGTTTACAAGCCACACATCTGAGTTATTGTTGTAAGTTTGAGAATCGTGGATTATAATCAATTCGCTGCTTCTATTTTCTATTGGATTTATTAGTTGTATTCCTAACACGTAACCTGGATCGCATCTGATTCTGTAGGAACGTACTACGGGTTCACCGAATATCCTTTTGGTAACCAGGAACTTTTTCTGGCCGGAACTAAGAAATATGACATTTATATCGTTTTCTTCGGGAATAAAGAATGGTTTATTGTACAAATAATCTAATTCTTGAGATGAAAACCAACCAGCTATTTCACGCTGTTGGAGACCCGTGAGTGCTGGGTTGTGTCGAATGCCCATTTGGTTATTTTGAATTGAGCAGCCATGAACTCGCAATCCTAATTGTTTGAAACTTATTCCAGCACCTTTGTTGAAAGAGAATTCTGAAGATTTCACAGCATTTACCGAGTCCATTGTGTATATATCGGAATAAGTAACACCAAAGCCATCGTAGTAATTATTTATCACCCTAATGTTTTCGAAATTGTGATGAGCAAAATCTATTTGTAAAGCAGGTTTGAAAGAGTTAGTTGCATAATCTAAAAGACCAGCTTTCTCAATTGTCATGTACATCATGTCAGTTCTTTCTGAAAGTGCTCCAAATCTTACTCCAGCCCAAGAACTTTCGTAACACCTAATGCCTACATCGTGTTCGTGCGTACAAGTGTTTTCGAAATCGGTTTTTCTTTCTGCTTTGCACTTTGTTATGTCTGTGTCGAAGATGCTGCATTCAACGTTTGTCAGTATGACGTCTTCGTTAGTTCCTGCGTCGGGGATTTCCACTCGCTCCAAAAACCAGTCGTCGGGATTCAAAGCAAAACCGAGTTGATGACACACAAGTGCGGCGTCTATTATGTCCCAGCCGTAATTGCACACGGTACCCCATCGGTTATCAATTTTTATTTGCAATCGCCCTTCAGATGCGGTCTTGCCACCGAGCAGTCTGATCGGAATTTTTGATTCCACCTCTATCATTTCTGTTTCAGAGTCATAACCTTGTGTTTCATTAGCGTTATCTTGAGTGAATGTTATTTCTTCTTTTAATGTGAACGTGATACTGTCTGGTCCGACACCTCTCGCTTCAAGCTTTCCTCCAACCATCATTCCGATGGACGGCGGGAATTTCAAGGTAACGCCGGGCTCTAGTGTTAGTTTTCCTCCAGGCCTGATATTGATATCCTTTTCTACAATATATTCACCTGCGGATAGTGTTTCTTCGCCTTCAACTTCACCGCCAACTTTGTTGGATCCCCGAAAAGCAAACGTGGGAACGTACAGTTGGTTGGGATTGAATCGAGATGTTAAAGGATTAGAGTTGTGTATGAGATACGGGATGAAGGCGATTTTGGCAAGGTTGTAGCGATGGTTTCTATCGAAAAGTCTGTGGAAAATGGTGGCCTCATCTGTAGATCCTAACCAATTATAAGTACAATTTATTATTTTGCTTTGATCTTCAAGCTGACTACCTATTTCGTATTTAGAACTAGGATTATCGATTATGTTTCTAAATATGTCGACGTTATCTGACGCTACGACTATAGGGGCGGCTACGCGACTTCTAGGATTGAGAAGAGACTGTGAGCCATCCTCGGGTAAAAAGGGTTCTGTCATGTTGTTGTATCTGACGAAGTTTCTGGTAAATAACAAAAACTGGTTTTGGGCAAAAGTTGAGAGTCCCAAATTCACAGCGAATACGCCATTGTTTTCGATGAAATAATTTTGTTCAATTAAGAATGAAGTTTTGAGGGCGTTAAATTCTTCAAGTAGGGGATTTCTGACAACCAAGCCTCCAAATAGACCGTATTTAAACCAGTTATATTCTATGATTCCGTCAAAGTTAAGAGCTGGCATTATTTTAATTCCTATTTTTGCGTTCGACAGAAAATTGTTATGACCGATTTGCAATTTAGTGGAAGAAGTTGTTTCCTTCCAACAGGACATGATTTGTAAGGCGTCGTTCAAACTGTTCTGAAATTTGTTGCCTGTAATGTTTATGTATGCTGTGTCGCAGAAGTTCCCGTGTAGAATACCAATGTCCAAATTTTTTATTATTTCCGAGTATTCCACAACGGTGGTTTGATTAACGTAAATGTATTCAGTTTCTTTGGTATCATTGAGCCAAATTGCTAGGCCATATCTTTCGTTTGACGTGAGAGAAGTCCTGGAAATGTTCCTGTTACCACCCGTGTACGTGATATTTATTCCGTCTCCTTCGTTAAAAGAAATTCTACTCTCGGTAACGTTTACATCTCCATTGCCACTGGTCACATGGAACCCAGCAACGTGGTTGTTTTTCGAAATGGAACTCTTATGAATATGCACTTGGGATCGAAGGTTATCGAATGAAATTCCGCGCCCGTTATTGTCTGATATGTCGCATCTGCTGACGTTGAGTTCGTAAGTCTTGGTCAATCCTGACGAAACGGTCATGTACATGAACATGCTGGTACGGGGTTCGGCTTTGAATGCAATGAAGATTTGGTGCCTTGTGGACGTAACAGATTGCGGTCGTGTGTTATTTCGTATTAGAAACGACGTAAGTAAACGACTATTGGGCGAAGAACCGTCAAACACTTGTATACCAGCGGAATTATTTCGATTGGTCTCGGCTCGAATAAAATTTAATGTCAGTCTGTGTCCATACCGAGTTGTAAAAACCTTTGAACAAAATTTTTCAGTCGAAAGAAAAATCGATTGATCGACGAACATGTGTATAGGATACGTTTGGCCAGATGTTATTGCCAGAGTACAAAAATCGGAAATGTCTGATTTATCTTGACGATCGTTTGGTCGTTCCTCTCCGTGAACATACCGTATACCATCGCTTCCACTTTCTGTAACAACACAACCATCTATGTGCGCCATGCCATAACTGGAGTTTATGAAAATTCCATATCCCCGATTGTTTCTTAAAATGCAGTTGTTTATTCTCAGTGGTCCATCGGAGGTTGTAACGTTTACTCCGTTGTAGGCCGAATGAAATATTTCTAAGTTATTCATCACAGGCGGAACTCCTTCTACATTTAAGGCACTGGTAGCGTTTTGGTCTCTTCCAGTTCCTGCATGGCTGATTATTACGTAACTAAGTCTCGAAAGAGACGTAGGTAAGTAAAGGGTATTGTCAAGCGTAAGAACCTTTTCATGTTGAGCGAATTCAAAACGTATTCCTCGCCAGTATGGCAGAGGAGTCTCGTGTCGGGGAAGGCACCGGATAGCTATATCCGGGTGGTAATCGCATACCCCTGAACCTAGCTGACGCGATGACCAATTACATTCGAAGAGGGAATTTTCGTTCCCTATACAGTTCGGTTCTTCGTAAAGGAGACGAGGAATCGGTGGCATTTCTCGATCGCACCAATTAGAAAACGAACCCCCAAGAAACCCCAGTTGTCTGCAAGCTGTTGTTATATCCGAAAGAGTCCAGCTAAAAACGGAATATGAACAATGTTATGTTATGTGTAGACATATGTTTATAAATAATTCGGATTATCTTATCGTAAAGACAAAATAATCTTATCTTTATGTATTTACATATTCATTTCTTAATTATCGTGTTGTACTTTCGGGGACATGATTTTGATTCATTTTTTATAATTGTGTCATTTATTGTGTTAAGAAATATTCGTCATTTAAAGAACTTCTTGGTGTTAATTGCTTATTATAAATGGAAATTTAAAAACAAATCAATTTACTTTCTGGAATTGGTGCATACGCTTCTCCATTTTCCATTGTGAAAAAGTTGTACCCTTCCTTCTAGGATACTTGGTCCATCCACCAGTCTTATTAGCGGCAAATCTTTTGTTTTCTCAGCACTCACATCTGCCGATGTTGTGAATGTAATTCGTTCCGATTCAGTGCCCTGAAAATTGCATATATACTGTTGTGTATTTCTTTTACTATTTTAACATTTATTCGAGGGAGAAAATTCACAGTAAATTTCAAAATAAAAATAAGTAATTGACTAAAAATAACGACATAATTAAGGTGAAACAAGTGCTTTGGTCTATTCTAGGGTTCTCTTATTCATCAGTTAGGCGATGAAATCTGCCTAATTAAGATGTAAAGTTTAATAATAGCCTAATACGTAGGTACCGGAATTCATGAACCATTTTTATCTTTATAAGTTTTTTTATCTATAAATTTTTGTTCGAATATCTACTGAAAAAGAAAGAAAAGTTCACGTTTTGCGCAAATAAAAACAATGTTGTACTATTTGTTTAACGTACTATCTACTATCAAATTAGATTATTATTATTATAATGCAGTTTTTTGTTTTCTGAGAAAATATATATTTGCTTTTTACAGTAATACACTTCCGGTGTATGATAAACCGTAAAAATATGTAGAATAACAAAATTGCATAACAAATATGAGTAAAACAAAAAGAACTTTTCGAGCTCCTTGAAATACTCTATGTACATAGCATAAAGGTGTCTGGCGCATTACCTTGACTGCAATAAATAATGCAGTTTTCCTTTCACAATTAGACATTTACTATACGTTGAGGGTTTACGATGGAATTGCTACTTTTGTTTGAATTCTTCTTGTTCGTATACATATAAACTCTACATATTGAAGAAAACATTGCTCATTTGTCTTTTTACATATATAACATACAGTACCTCAAATTAAATTATCATATACGTAATAATTAACCAAAGAATGCAATTATTGATCCATTAAGATAAGAAAACGATATATGTAGATAATCATAGTTTTATTTTCTCCTAGCAATTATTAAAACTTATTCAGTTAATGCAGAATTTTTATTTACTACGAAATCAATAAAAATTTTTACTTTTCTGTGCATTATTTTTGATTAAAGCTTCTTCATGTTGTTCTGATGGTTAGTAAATGTTAGATTGATGACATGATGATCATCAATATCTCTGCTAGAAGCCTTTAAATCTAAGGAAAGTACTATTCATTTTTAACTTTTGGTTATTTTTGAAAACAAGGCGCTGAAATTATTAAGTAGGTATCTATTATTACTGTAATATTGGTTTGATTCTGTATAATTTTAGGTAGGTATATTATCTTTTAAGTGCAAATTAAAACTTGTAGGTGGTTAAATATTGACCATAAAAGTACTCCTACATTTCTGGAAGTTATGTACTATCATAAAAATGGATTACTTTAATCATTTGAGTTAATATAATTGACCTACAGTTTAATTAGGATAGGTGCCCAAAAATGACATTTTAATTGTTGTGATGTAAATTTCTGTTAGCATTTAGCTGTAATAATGCTTTTGTATAAAATGGATAAATTTTAATCTTTGAACCTCGTTAAGAACTTATTTAATTGATTCAATCAATTAACCATAAGATAGGAGTTTCCTAGTAAGTTTTGCTTACTTAGGTTAAATGAGTCATATGGTTGTATAACAGTCTAGTTATGCATTTTATAAAAAATCCTTCCATTATTTTGTCATCTTGAAAGGTAATTAACATAATTGTAAAGCAATATGCACTTACTAATTAGAATTTTAATAAATATTATGCTAAAATAAAGTAATAAAAAACTTTTAGGAGATGATCAGTTTTATTAATCTCGTCTTTTCTTCAGATAAGTTGTTTTATAACAAAATATAACAAAAGCTCAATTTTTATCTTGACCAAATAAGAGCTTTTTATCACAAGAATTTTTTTAATTGAAACCAAATTAATCTATACGCTTTAATACTGTAAATAAAAATATACTTTTCTTCAATATTTTGGAACTTCTAGGAAAGCTGAGGTGACTGTAATATTTTATTTTACTTCTACTTTAGTCACTAATTCAGATTTTATTTCGTATTACCTATCGCTACCCATGATATAGCTTTTACATATTTATTGATGCTATTTTGCGTAGGTATTTGATGTTAATTATAATTCTGATCATACAATTTACTCTTCGTATCCGCTCATTTTAATCATCTACTCAACGTTCACTAACCTTATAACAGAGACCCTTCTGTAGATATAGCTTGGAAAAATTATTCG